TCACCTCTCACTCGGTCAGTCCCTTGCTCAGGTAGGGTAGACTGTAGCGGCTACGTCCTGGAGCTTGAGGCTAACTAACGCCAGACGGGTGCTGAGTAGCGACAGGGAGGAGCGCAGAGACATAGTGTCAGGGCATTAGATTGGTCAGGTCTGGCCTTCCTGGTGCTCGCTTTAAGCCACCGTGTTGGTCGACGGTCCTATGCCAAATGTGGTACCTCACCCCAAGCACGCCTTGTCAAGGCGGGGCCCTCCAGCCGACACTGACGGATCCGGGACCGACAGGGGAATGGACCACGCCCTTCGCCGGGAAAGGCAGGCGCGCCCGGCGCCCGACGCTTCTTGGAATACACACGCATGCCTTGGCAGTTTGAACAGCTGCGCCCGGGCGCTGTAGCACCGCGCCCCCGGGACGCCACAACCGTGTCCCTGTTCCGGGACACCACAGCCGTGTCCCTCTCCCGGGACACCACAACCGTGTCCCTCTCCTGGGACGCCACAGTCGTGTCTCTCTCCCGGGACGCCACAACCGTGTCCCTCTCCTGGGACGCCACAGTCGAGTCCCTCTCCTGGGACACCACAGCCATGTCCCTCTCCTGGAACGCCACTACCTTGTCCCTCTCCCGGGACGCCGCAGTCGTGTCCCTCTCCCGGGACGTCACATCTGTGTCCCTCTACTGGGACACTACAACCGTGTCCCTCTCCCGGGATGCCACAGCCGTGTCCCTCTCCCGGGACGCCACAACCGTGTCCCTCCACTGGGACACCACAAGCGTGTCCCTTTCTTGGGACACCACAACCGTGTCCCTCTCCCGAGACGCCACAGTCGTGTCCCTCTGCGGAATACCACAACCGTGTCTCTCTCCTCGAATACTACAGTCCTGTACTGCTCCTAGGATCTGACGGCTGTGTCCTGCTGCCGTGATTCCACGGCCGTGTTTCATTACCGACATATGACGACCATTTCCCGCTACTGGGACACCACGTCCGTGTCTCGCTCCCGGGAAACCACGGCAATGTCCCGCTCTCGGGCCACGGCGGTGATGCCCCGCTTCCGAGCTACCTCGTCCGCGTCGCGTTCCAGCGATACCGCGGCGGCGTCACCCGCCTGCCACCCGGACGAGGCCCCGGAGAACGCGCGCTCGGGGAGCTCTGGTGGTACCCCGCAGGCAGGGAAACGTCTACCTGTGCTCATCACACGGCTTTACGCGGCAGGGCAGTACCGCCGTTCAGGCCGGTCGTCGGTGAATGATGACGCAACTATGGTGCTCAACAGCTGAGGATAGCGGTCTCGGTCACCTGGCAAAGGGACCGCCGTCGGGCCGAACACGGCGGCGCTGGCCGCCTGTACCGCGTGCTGCACAGCACGTAACCGTGTCTATGTGAGAGCGAGGTGTCATAAACCCGGTGGTAACATACATTTAGCCGGTCCAATAGCCTTGGGCTCGGCCCCGCGCACCCTCCATGACCCGCCCTATAATGACGTCTCTCGGAGACTGTATCCAGGCGCCGCGGGCGCCGCGTGTTTCGTGGTGGGACGTTAAGTTAATGAAGCCTCGTGCATCGCGCCAGGGTCATTCCTCCGGGAAAGGGAACGGGCTTGATGCGCGGAAGCCGATCATTTCGATTTTTTCGCCTTCAGCTTTCATTTGAAATCGGACAGAGCCAGCCTTGACGGGAGGGGGACGGCGGTTGGGTGAGACAATGGAGATAAATATCGGGACTCACGCGGTCGGAGCGATTGGACTCCTCAGCAGCAACGACGTTAATTTAATTAACAATGTGCCGTGTCCCTCTTCCCGACATATCTGGCATTATGAACATTGTGCACAACCTTTAGATGTCACACAAATCATTTTGCTTAGCACAAATTCTGACAGGCAGAGTTAATCTTTTCTGTGATATGTCACCGCACGGAGAGAAATACCTAAACGAACGCAGATTACAACGTGAAAGAGAAAACAGCGCAATCGAAACATAAATAAGCGAATTACAACCAATAAGCACCGAGCTACAGCTCCGCCAATCAGTCAATGTGGCAAATGTTCCGAGGTTCGAACTGGTCGGGCTGTCAAACTGACAAGCCGAGCGGGATGGCTCAGCCATGTGTCGGACCACACGCCGGATAGCCCACCTAACTCCAACCTGGCGTATCCCTCGGATTTAGCGAGCACATCAACGGCTCCTCTCGGCCGCGCGTGGGCGTCAGCCAATCCTCTTTACGTTCAGACCTGACGTGATCGTCACCCAGTCCTTCCGGATCTGGCGTGTGCTTCAGCCAGCCGCTCCCGCCTGACGAGGACCCCGGCTCCGATCCGGACACCACCGGCTCTCCGCCGAGCGGGGCGGGCCGGCTCTGGTTCAAGGCCGCGGCGGTGGTCCGGAGCCGCGATACCCGACCGGTGGCGGCCGGTGCCGGTCGGCCGGCTCGCTGACGGTGGGCGGTGCCTGACGCGCCACTGACGGACGCTGACGTGCCGGCCGGGCCGACAGCACCGCGCGCCCCGAACGCACAGCGTTCACCGCCGCGCGTCACTCGCTCCACCCGCCGGCGACGCCCCCGGCGCGGTGGTCCGGTTACCGCGCGACCGGCGGCACGTCGAATGTGACGCCGGCGGTGGGGCTCGGATGGAGGCTGACGCCAGAAGGGTTCTGTGCAGATCCGGTCACAAATTTGGGAGCGGCATGTTTAGGGCGCCAGAGCTTTTTTGAGCAAGTGGCCTCGGTGCACGGTTAAACGCTCGTCAGGAAAAGCGGTTGATATATAACCCATCCATCGGGACCCCTTCTCCTGAAAACGTCTCACCGTGCATCGCGCAGGAGCCATGTGCACACACGAGGGCAGGGTACGGCTCTTTGTCCGTGTCGAAGGCACTTGTCCTCCCTCCGATCAAGTTCGACCCTCTCAATGATCGACCAGTCACGAGAAAATCGCCAAAAACGTAACAAGCACAGCAATCATCTTAAGCTTTGCGGGAAGTCTTCTCTGCAGTCCCTACAATGCTAATGATGATCCGGCTAGGCATGGCGGCAAGCCAATCTGCTTCTCGGTGACATGCGGGTTCTGTCTCACCACACGGTATAACGTTACAAAACAGCTGCATAAGCTGCTAACAAAACGACAGGTTGATCACAAGCAACACACCGAGCGCCCAACATAATGTTCACGTGTCCAGTCGCACGATAAGAGTTGTACCTCAGTGGTCATGGACAGCTTCCTCGTGCTCCGCTGACCAGCGCGCGGCGTCCCCAGCTGATAGACGTCCGCTAAGGCTGAGGGGTACTCTGACAAGGCGGTCTGGAGGTCGAGGGGATAAACTTCGGCGGTGAGCGGCATCTCTGGGGTCAGCCGGCACGCCGCGCGACAAAGGATGAAGTGTGATGCGATGAGTTTTCGAAGGATTTTGTACAGGGCGTCCATGCCAAAGAAGACTTGGTTTCGGAGTCGCGCTGTCGTACCGAGACGCGTGTTGTGAGGACACGGACGCATGCTGCCCCACGGCCAGGAGTTTGGCGATGCCGCAAGTCAAGCTGCCATAGAGGCTCGTGACTGAAAAACTTTTGCACGCCGCACTTTTGTACCGCCCGTACTGGCCACTGGCACTGACACTGACACGAGAAGCGGTACATCCTTTCCATGGCTGTGATCTTGCCTGCTGGAGTGAGACAACATCTCAACCAGGATCTGCTGAGAAGACCGCGACCGACATTCTCGACGAAATGAAAAAATAACAATTGTGTTACAACCGAGATAGCGAGGCGGCGTGATGAGGTGCGGAGCCAGACATCCAACACAGACAAGCGTTCCTAGCAGAACATCATACCGCAGGATCACAAGTCGGCTGCGTTTTTCTCAAAATCTAACAAGTGAGTCAACGCGTTGCGGCCGGGCTGAGACATGCGGCTGTCGATAAGCCACGTTAACACGCCGTTCGCCTTTCGCCCATGCATTTCGTGGTACGCCGAAGCAGCGCGAAGGCCGCGTCATTGGGCCCACGCCGAGCATCATGCAGTCCTCCCCAGCAGCAGACCGCCCGGCGAGGGGGCTTGCCGACACTGCAGCCTGTTCTGTATGCCGGTCGGGGATGTGCCGGGGGCGGGACGCCACCTCTCCCAACGGTGGAATGCTTCCTGTCCTGTCGGTGGGACGCCAGCTCTCTCGGTGGTGGTACGCTACCTCCCCTATCGGTGGGACGCCACCTCTCCCATCGGTGGAATGCTTCCTGCCCTGTCGGCGGGGCGCCAGCTCTCCCGGTGGTGGGACGCCACTTCTCCCATCGGTGAAATGCCTCCTGCCCTGTCGGCGGGACGCCAACTCTCCCGGTGGTGGGACGCCAGCTCTCCCGGTGGTGGGACGCTTCTTCCCCTATCGGTGGGACGCCACCTCTCCCATCGGTGGAATGCTTCCTGCCCTGTCGGCGGGGCGCCGACTCTCCCGGTGGTGGGACGCTACCTCTCCTATCGGTGGGACGCCACCCCTCCCATCGGCGAGAAACCACCTCTGCCGTTGGTGGAACGCCAACTCTCCCGATGGTGGGACGCCACCTCCCTTCTGTTGGGACTCCAACTCTCCCATCGGCGGGAAGCGACCTTTCCGACTGTTGGAACGCCAACTCTCCCGGTGGTGGAATGCTTCCTGCCCTGTCCGTGGGACGCCAACTTTCCCAGTGGTGGGACGCCACCTTCCTTTTGTTGGGACGCCAAATCTCCCATCGGCGGGAAGCGACCTTTTCCATCGGTGGAACGCCAACTCTCGCGTTAGTGGGACGTCACCTCTCCCACCGTTGGCACGCCACCTCTCCCGGCGGGAGGACAGCGTTCATTCGACCGACCCATCTCTACCTCCGGGCTTCAGAAGCGAGGTAGTCCCGGACCACATGAGAGTGACAGTCATGGCCAGCACGCGGCGGCCAGTGTGGAGATTGAAAGGCTTTGCTCTGCACTATATTTGTCTGCATTATATCTCCCATCTCTAGCACTGCCATCCGCTAAATCCACCAGGGTTGACCGAGCTAGACTAAAAAATGATTTGGTATGTCGTCATGTAAACTCCCTTGTGTATGTATACCGTCATGACAACTTTTGTGTATGTATATCGTCATGCCAGTTCTATTGTGTATGTTTATCTTGTAGGCATCCTAGTATATATTTATGTTCATGGGCTTCCGTTTTCAAATGTATGCGCAGAATACACCTAGCTCGGCAACTGAACTGTGTAAGTTTTTTTCCGCGACTGCTATACACGACCATAGGATACACTTGCGCCGGGGTCAATGACGGACAACACATTTTCTTACCTTTTATTAGCACCTGTCTACGTCACGTACCCTCCATGTCCACGTAACTCACCTGGAAATATAGAAAAAACAGCGTCAGCGGCCTATTCTGGGCGAAACGATCCGCTGGAGGGCTGAGGGTACCACACTGTCCTTTCCAGAGGAGAACTGAGGGTATCCCACCCAGCCCTGTCCAAAGGATGGCTGAGGGTACCGCCACGTCCTATCCAGTGGAAGACTGAGGGTACCGTCCCGTCTTATCCAGAGGACGACTGAGGGTACCGCCCCACCCTGTTCCGAGCGTCCACACCAGATGGCCGAGCGCGAGCCGCCCGTCGCCCTCAGCCGAGGCCAGCGCAGGCGAGCGAGCGAGCGCATCTATCCCCCACCTGGTCCGTACGGATGCCGGAGAACCGACGGCCGGGCCAGCTGCGAGCGTACCGAGCGCCGAGGCTGTCTAGGACAGACCCGCCAGCTCGAGGCGGCTGCTAACGCCCACAGCACAACCCTTATATATATATATATATATATATATATATATATATATATATATTACCGAAAAGCATTCCGTACAGGAGTTGCATTTGTCCTGTCAGGGACTTTGTAACTTTAAGAAACGTATACTATAGCTTTAAAGCGTTAGATGCTGCAAAAATGTGAGAAGCAGGTACCATTGGTGTGTGAGTTTGTTGTTGATTGGAGTTTTAGGGCGCGTCGACTACTGTGGTCATTTTGCGCCCACCATTGGTGTGTGAGTTTGAGACCACTTCCCATTACAATGTCCATCTGGCGGTATCGGAGAAGGACTGACCTATATTCACACGGCAACTGTGGGTAATAATCCCGACAATCGCCTGACCTTGTACAAACCAAGGCCTCCAACATCAAAGGCGCCGCTAATGTCAGCGCCGGAGCCTCCGCAGCTATTCCGAATACCGAACACCCGACGTGCGACAATGATCCAGCAGCATGTTTCCAGCGGGCCCGACCATATTGGTCTATGAATAGTACCGGCAAGATTCCAGTGTGTTGACATGGCGAACAACAATGTGCGGTCACAAGCAGCGAGTGTGTGTCACTGCGCCTCAGGACGCACTCGCTGCTGAGGCTAATCATGGTGTCGCCTGCCGCTCGCCCTGGCAAGAGAGGCGGTCGCTGCAGGGAATCGAATCCGGCAGCCCTTGTATAAACTGTTCAGATGTGCAATTTAACCACCTCACTACCAACATCTCAAAGAGAAAGTGCGTGCGAGTACGTTGTGGCATTTTGTAGCTTTATTTGTTAGTGTCAGTATGGAAAGATTCGCAACAGCGAAGATACGGTATTCCAAAAGTGGAGTGACTTCGGCACTGCACATACGGCGGACGAAATAATGTCATATGTCATGTGTCATCACATCATGTGACACCAAAGCGAATGCGATAGGCAATTAGTATGCACTGACTAATGATGTGTGACTCGACAACACTTCCTTTTGCAACTACGCGAACCGTGAGATAACGGCAGATCAGCAGGATTTCGCTACCTTAGCCGGGGTTTAACAGCATCACCCCGAGCACCCTGAGCCCGACCAAGGCCGCACGTCGCCTGGCGTGATTCGCAGGAATGGAGCAGCTCAGCGAGGACGCACGTACACACACGCGCACCTAAGCAATGACAAATGACGCGGCAGAAACACGCGAAAAACGACACTGAACCCCGATAAAAGCGCACGGGCGCGGTCGCTACTGCCAGGCATGACGTGGAATCTGAGCGTCGTCAGTGGCAATTAGTGTTTGATTGCCGGAGCTTTGTGCGCGGATGGCGCACCACTGATTGAGACAGCTAACGAGGTGGATCATGACAGGCATCGTTCGAAAAAAATTGGCGGTTCGACATGTCACAGCCGGATGTATCACAATAGCTTTGTCACGGTGCACTTGTGTGCTTCCAGTTTTGAACAGATCGCATACAACAAAGCCAGTTTCCTGACCTGTAAGCATTCCGTAAGCCCTACGCCAGTCATTTTCAGAGCGGCGGAGCGTGCATGGCACACTGGGCGTTACATGAATCGAGAAGCTGATGCGCCTCCAAAGTCAATCAAGCCCTCGTGTACACAATGGTATGCCCCCCTGACGATGGTGGTGCGCCGCTCGGGTGTAACTGAACGAACCCGGGGACCCGGTTAGCGATGCTTTCAAACGAACAATGCGGCAGCATTCTTCAAAAACGAAGCTGGAATAATTATCGGGGCACGTGCACTTAAATCTTTCTACAGCCGCCTGGCTCCGTCTGGTTAACACTCATGTTGTAAACTAAGCGTGTGTTTCACTGGAGCGTATAATGTTGATTTGTATCATTGCCTGATTTCAGAAGGTAATGTGGGGTGTACAGAACCTTCCATCTTGTAACACACTGAAATGAAATGGACATTGGACAATGTCACGCTTCAGTCGTCTCAAATATCGGCGGCAAGCGATCGCAGACGTGTGACAAATGTTGCCCAAATACGGCTTGTGAAACCCCGTCACTAACGCTGCCACTGCGTGCCTGCAGCGTGGCCGCACGCGAGGAAGCCCGTTCGCAGCGATTAACTTCACATAAAGAGAAAGTGAATTAATAACTGGTCTCATGACACCGAGGAAGATCAGTGACGCATCGTCGAGTCTCACTCGAGCGCGGCCGGAAGAGAGTGGAGCCGGCTTCTCCCGGCACGCTCTCCGGTCCGAACACAGCAGCGCAGGCCGAGTCACGCGCGCATGGGCCCGACCTGCACAGGTGCAGCACAGGTCTGTCCCGTCTCCAGACCGCTGCGGGGTGCGGACAGGTCAGCGGCCGCTCCCCGGGTGCTGACCCGCGCCGCCGCCGACCGACGCGGCCGGGCCAGCACGGGGAGACCGACCGCGCCAGGCGCTCCCCGGCCGCCGGCAGGATGCGCAGGCCGGCGAGCCGACCCCGATCCGGGCGAGCCAGCGCCGCCACCCGACGCTGGGTCGCCTGAGTGGCCGGCCCGGAGATGCGACGCTCCGGTCGCGGACCGTTACCCCAGCTCGCGCGTCAACCCCGGCCGCCAGCCTGTTTGTTTTCGGCCGGCGCACCCCCGACGACGCGGACACGGCGCGGCGTAACGGCCGCCTCTCGCGCCAGCCGGCGGCGCCGCGCTGGACGCGGCGAGCACGGCTGCCAGGCGGGCGAGCACGGCTGCCGGACGGACGAGCACGGCTGCCGGACACGGCGAGCACGGCTGCCGGGCGGGCGAGCACGGCTGCCGGGCGGGTGAGCACGCGGTGGCGCCGGACGCCGGTGCCGAGTCGTTGCCGGTCGCCCGGTAACAGTAGCCGTACGGTCTTAAGGAGCCGACACGAATCGCCGTGCAGTTTTTTAAATGAATGCTCGTTAGCTTTGTTTGCCAAAATGCGTCCATCAAATCCTGATTTTAATATTTTTATCGGCCCAGTCAAGTACAGGTGCCTGCCTCTCACAAAGTTCACAATTGGACTTCTCGGCCCATCCATCGTCCGGTCCTGCTACCGAGAACCATCGCGGTAGGTCATGTGCAACGGCGTCCGAGAAGCGTGCGAGACCGTCTCCGGGGCAGAGTGCGACGATCGGGGTGCGCCGGGGAGCGCGATCAGCCGCGATAGCAGCCTTTAGAGCACGCCGCGACACTAATCACGCCCTCACATCACGCCGCCTCGTGCTCCACCAGCACGACGCGACATTTCAGCCAGTCTTCAGGACTGGCGAGCGCCTGACGAGGGCCTGTAAGCGCGGAGCTCATGCACGAGGCTGCTGACTCGGAGCGGCCGCCGGTGCCGGCTGCAGCGCGGTCCGCCGCCCGCCCACGGGCCACCCTCGCTGTGCACGCGGCTGACCGGTCTGGACGGTGGCGCGGCCGCCGAGGCCGGCCGAGGCCGGCGCGGCCCCAGTCATCGGCCCGAGACCCCGCATGCCTCCCGAGCTGACCACCATCGCGTGGGTGGCCTCCGACGGCGGCCCGAGGAACCTCGCCCTCTGGCGGCCCACTGCGGGGAAACAGAACTGGGCGGCACGGCACTGGCAGGGTACGGCGCCAGTCGGACGGCGGCCGGCTGGTTGGCCGGGCTCTGCTCGGGCAGTGATGGCTACCAATCTGACTGCCTGTGACAGCACGAAGGGGTATAGGCAAGGACGCACGATCCGCAGCACCGTGGCTGCAACACGCCCATAAAATGCAGGCTGGTACAGCGCTCCGTAAAAAAACCGGACGTGAAGTTCTATTCTGGGCCTGGCCGGCGGCTCAGGGATGTCACATCGTGCAGTGGAGACACGCAATGCGAGGGTCTAAATAAACGCTTACAGCCGAATTTGCGACCAAAGATCTTTCCTCGCCGAGCGTTGGAGGCGTGCCGCTAAGACGAGAGCCGAAGCTGGACAGTGGCCAGCCAGCGCTGTCTGGGAGGGTCGGGTCGGCGTGACGCGCCCAGCGCCGGGGGCGGCGGCCGGCGCGACGGCCGCGCCGCCTGACCCGGCCTCGTTTTCGGGTCGTTCGCACGCCGATACGATCGACGGCTCAGCGGCGGCGCCGAGTTTGTATGAATTGTCAAAACGGACGTTCGAACGGGACCCCATTCAGAAGCGGCGCCCCGTCGCACGAGAAGAGAGAGGGGAGGTGAAGGAGAGCTGGCAGGAGAGGCGGCATGAACGAGAGAGTGGAAAACGACGAGGATCACTCAATTCACGCGCTCGTTCTCGCATCCACACAGCCCACGCGCTCGACTGGGCAGCGACTGGACCAAAAGGTTCCGACCAGCACAGGTCGGCATGCGGTGAGCCCGCCCGCCGCCCCGTCCAGAGGGCGGTCGTGACCAATAGCCGGGCATGCCGGCGTGAGTCGCCGCACCCCGTGCACGAGTGCACGGTGCACGGTGGAGCGCCGGCCGCGTGAGCGGGCCTGTGTTGACGTCACAATTACGGCGCTGTGACGCCGAATCCTCCTGGGAAGTGGGCGTGGGGAAATACACGAGGCCTCAAACCCGCTGTTTTCTGTGTAACGCCATCAGGGTAATGTCAGCACTTGCAGAGAGGGGCGGCTGGCCGATTGGCACCCGCTTTAGCAGTTCCTGCTACGAGGGACGGTCGGCTTATCACACGCCCACCCACCCCCACCCAGGCGGAGGCGAAGAAGGCCGCCGCAGGATTCAGGGAGAAACGGAGCACGCCACACCGAAGTTGTTCTGACCTCGAAATGATTGACACTGCACAAGATACCTCATTTTGTCATTTAGGAGGGTGTCTTGCAACTGTAAAATATCCGTGGCAGATGTATAAATCATCATATTCAATAGAGCATGATTCCTTCCTCGCCCTTGGATGCAGCGATGTGCCCCTCCACGACGACGTCCTTGTGAATGAACAGGCGGGTACAATCAGGCATCATTTGAGGCCCTTCCCACAACGTAGTTACGTGGCTCGCTCGGTCTTATTATTACACAACAAACTGTCATCACTGGACGCCGTGCGGCAACCGGTCCTTGGAGACCAATGATGAAACCGGTCATCAGATCTTATCAATAAACTGGAGATTTTTTGAGGGAGGTGACTAGTCGCACAAGATGAGACTCCTGCTGGTCCCGGCAGACAGCTCCGATCGAGGCTGCCTCGAAGGTCGGGTACGACTACTATTGTGAGACCTTGGCCTTTGAGCCTTGCCGTGATGAATGTTCACAGCACGCGGACGTGGCCTCCGACAAAGTGGAACCGTGTACGCTAAAACAGCCGTCCTTTCACTTGATGTGCCTTCCCAATGCCGAGTGCGAGGGAAGCTGTGACAAAAAACGACGATTATAGTTATATCCCGGCCGATAATATCGACTAAAAAACGGTGACGATTGTGATGATTGTAGCGTTTATTAGCCCACGTTTGTAGCGGAAAACGTGTGGTGCAGACGCGAGTGCAATTACGACTGTACCTAAGCAGCAGTAGAATGTTCAGAACAGGAGATTTCAGTAAAAAGAGGTGAACATTTTCGGAGCTGTAGCTGAAACCAATGCTGAAACAAAAGCATGATGATCGAGAGGCTGCTCTTTCACGTTTTCCGTTTTCCCCGACACCACAGTATTTCCAAATGTCAATGCAGCAGAAATGCTGCTCCATTTCCGCTCCATCCACAGTGTCTACTAGCCACCTCTGTCGGCGGCGCGATCATCACGAGTGTTAACGGCGCGAGTTAAGCTGAGATGCGCCCTCCACGGCCCGGCGCAGCCACTAACGCGCCCTCCGGCCCTGTCCGGTCCGGTCCGGTCCGGTCCTGGTCCTGGTCCTGGTCCTGGTCCTGGTCCTGGTCCTGGTCCTGGTCCTGGTCCTGATCCCGGTCCTGGCCCCGGTCCCGGTCCCGGTCCCGGCCTCGACCTCGGACTCAGCATCAGTCCCGGTCCCGGCCCCGGTCCCGGTCTCCGTCCCGGTCCTAATCCTGGTCCCGGTCCCGGTGCCATTCCCGGCCTCTGCCTCGTCCTCGGCCTCTGCCTCGGGACTCGGTATCAGGTCTGGTCTCGGTCCCAATCATGGTTCCAGTCCCGGTTCCGATCCTGGTCCCAGTCCTGGTCCCGGTCCTGATCCCGATCCCGGTCCCGATCCCGGTCCCGGTCCCGATCCCGATCCCGGTCCCGGTCCGCTCCCGGCCGATCGCTCGCGGGCCGGGCGACGGGCTCGCCCGCTCGGATCGTATCTGCCCGTCCGATGCATGTATCCGTGACGCACGCGTGCTTGCCGCCACGCTCCGCTGCACAGCCGTGTTCATAATTAGGGGACGCGGCAGTGCGGCGGCGGCCCGCGCGGCGGGCTCGGTGCTGCGCGAGCCCAGAGGCACCGCTGGTCGCTCATGTCAGAGCCTGAAACGCCGATGGACATGGCGTCATCTGAGATGAGCCGGTCTCGGGGAGGGGGAACTGACTGGGAGATCCCTCAGGGGCTGACGGGACTGACGGCGTGGCCCCTGCGGCGTTGATCGGCTTGTCACGATATCAGGGACTGGCGATGTCGTTGCTCGGCCGCTAACGTCGCCATCTCTTCCTGACACTGGCGTCACGCTCTCCCCCTCATGTTATGCAATCGGACCTTAGTAGATTGAATGTTCATATATGCAATATACATATGTATAAATATATATATATATATATATATATATATATATATATATATGACATATATGTAACAAATATGTCATACACAAAGTTAAAAGGAAACATCACGAAACAGATCACTGATAGTGCAATTTGAAGGTTAAAGAAGCATAACGTTAATGCGGTTAATGCGGCGCACGAAAATGCTATTCGACACTTCGCAGCACACCTGTACCGCCGACAGGCACAGAGTTGTTGTCAATATTTTGCACTTGCTGCACATATGACTGCTCACCGCTCCATTCTGACTTATAAATCCGCTTCATCCCTCGTGTAAGTACTTGGTACACGGAGATGACAAGCCGACGTGAGCAGCAAAAGCTGGACGAGAGCTTATCAATGTTCGATATGGTTAATGCGCAGTTTTATGTGCGAGCAATGCATAGCATAAAACACAATACGCGTCTTATTGCAACTGCTTGCTAGCAATGCTTTCGAAGCTATGCAGTGTGTGACGGGTGCAGACCCAAAATGTTTTATATAATCCCCATGGTACCGATATTCGGCTTTTCTTAAGCGGTGTCTGACTCAGAAACAGCTTACGGAAGCGGGAGTCCCCTGTGAATACCCAGAGAATCCTGAGGCATCAACGTGTGGCGATGTGAGCAGGGCCCGGACCTGGCGACCAGTACCTGATCATAATGAAGATCAAGGGGTACCGGGGTGACCTGTGCCTGACTGTCCCGAGAATCAGGAGATGCTGGAGTGACCACGATCAGACTCTTTCCTGAGGATCAGGGGTGCCGGGTTGACCGACCTGAGGATCAAGGAGCACCGGGGTGATCAGCACCTGACTCTGCCTTGATGATCAGGTGTACTGGGGTGATCGGAAGCCGACTCTGTCCTGGAAATCAGCGCGGATGCCGGGGTGACCTGTACCTGACCCTCCTGAGGCACAGGGGATGCCGGGGTGACCTGTACCTGACCCTCCTGAGGCACAGGGGATGTTGGGGTGACCTGTACCTGACCCTCCTGAGGCACAGGGGATGTTGGGGTGACCTGTACCTGACCCTCCTCAGGCACAGGGGATGTTGGGGTGACCTGTACCTGACCCTCCTGAGGCACAGGGGATGTTGGGGTGACCTGTACCTGACCCTCCTGAGGCACAGGGGATGCCGGGGTGACCTGTACCTGACCCTCCTGAGGCACAGGGGATGTTGGGGTGACCTGTACCTGACCCTCCTGAGGCACAGGGGATGTTGGGGTGACCTGTACCTGACCCTCCTGAGGCACAGGGGATGTTGGGGTGACCTGTACCTGACCCTCCTGAGGCACAGGGGATGTTGGGGTGACCTGTACCTGACCCTCCTGAGGCACAGGGGATGTTGGGGTGACCTGTACCTGACCCTCCTGAGGCACAGGGGATGTTGGGGTGACCTGTACCTGACCCTCCTGAGGCACAGGGGATGCCGGGGTGACCTGTACCTGACCCTCCTGAGGCACAGGGGATGTTGGGGTGACCTGTACCTGACTCTGTCCCGAGGCCCGTCCCGCGGTGGCAGGGTGGCCAGAGCCCGGCTCGGCGCCGCCGTTCCGCACCGCCTTCCCCGTCACGCCGTCGTAGAAGTCGTCCAGGAAGAGCCCGCGCGCCGAGTCGCCGTGCTGGCGCGGGGGGCGCCGGGTCGAGCCGTAGTCGCACTCGGGGTCGGACTGCACCTCGCGGTACTCCTGCCGCCGCTGGCGGCGGCGCGCCGGGCCGCGACCGAACGGCAGCCGTCGACGCGGCCGCGGCGATGAGTTCGGGCTGGCCACCGGGCTGGCCAGAGGGCTCAGCGACTGCAACTTCTGCTTCAAGCTGCCGAACATCGTGCCTCGCCGCTGCGTGCGGTGATCTACACCTCTGTTGAGTCAATAGTCCCACCGATAAGTCTGAGTCGCGTTCCTTTGCAGGGTGAGGTGCTCGGCACCATCAGCGGCGCGGCACCAGCCCCCGAGCGCTCGCGACACACCTCATGAACACCGAGCGGGGAGCGCACGGGCTGTGTAACCACGCACCACTTCGCGAGTTGGGATCACACTGACGCGGCGACTTCAATACCCGCCCGCAAACACAGCCGGACCGGCCTTCAGTGCAGCCGTCGAGCCGGCCCTCAGAGCAGCGCGCGGACGGGCGGAGTTGGACAGGAATCAGCCCGCGGACATTTTATGAGGCAGCGCTGTGTAATCAGTTTGCTGGCCCAGCACCTGATTCGTGGACCTCTCTGGAACCCATAAACGGCTCTTGGCGAGCAAGTGGGAATAGCAGAAGTGCCATAAACTCTAATGGCACAGTGGTTTGATCAGACATTCAACTTCATTTGCGCATAGTTTACTGGCTGCTTATAGCTGTGGGTGCAGGTTATGGATGGACGGATCACGTCCAGATGTTTCCAATTTCTCAGTAAACGCTCCATTTTAAACTCGCTGGAGGAATATAATTGCATAGGCTCCGCGAGTAGAGCTGTGAGTTGTGTGTTTGGTATGAAGCAAAAGTATTGAATAGTAGTAACGATTAGAGGAGTTTTGCCGTGTCTATCCGGCTCATACTAAACAGATCAACACGTCTTAGCGTATGTTGAATCATATATATGTATGGTCCTTCCCAAACATGTGTTATTGTTATTCAATGAGCGTCCGCAAAAACCCTACGTAATTGCTCCCTCCCCGACCCAGACTACACAGCGATGACCGAAAGATTCCTGGTACCACCTAATGACGGTCACCACTGTAGTGACCTGTCATTCCTTGCCTAGAGTTAATGGCGAGCTGACTGAATTTCCGTTTCCCCTGACCGGCACCGAGCTGACCAACGGCCCTCTTCTCCGACTGACACCGAGCTGACCAACCGCCCCCTTCTCCGACTGACACCGAGATGACCACCGCCCCCTTCTCCGACTGACACCGAGCTGGCCAACCGCCACCTTCTCCGACTGACACCGAGCTGACCAACCGCCCCCTCCTCCGACTGACACCGAGCTGACTAACCGCCCCCTTCTCCGACTGACACCGAGCTGACCAACGGCCCCCTTCTCCGACTGACACCGAGCTGACCAACGGCCCCCTTCTTCGACCGAGACCAAGCTGACCAACCGCCCCCTTCTTCGACCGAGACCAAGCTGATCGTCCCCTCCACTTCTCCAGCGTGACCTGGGCCGACCAACGGCGCCCTGCTCCAGACGAGGCCGGCTGACGGTCGGTGCTCCAGCGATCGGCCGGCAGTGGCCAGACACGCCACGGTACACCGACCAACAATGGGATGGGACGTCGCTTGAGACGTGGACCGGGCGCTGGCCGGGTCCATTGACTCCGGACAGCGGCCCGGAGGCGGACGGGATGGGCCGAGCGAGGTCGCTACTCTGCACGTCCGGCCCCGGCACCCGGCTCCCCGTCTCCCGCAGGAGCACCGGGCACTGAAGCCGCCGAGGCCGCGCCAGGCAGCCAGGTGTCGAATGTTGGTCTGAGCTGCAACGTGTCAGCTTGTGTCAGATTGTGGACACAGGATCCCGCGACCATAGCGGTGCTCAGTTCTCTCTGAGGTTGGTGCCGAGCTTGTTCAGGTAACATCATGATAAGCTAACATTCTGCCAGGAATTGGGGCGTCCTGGGGCAGACGCTTCACACCGCTCGAATCCACCGCCACACCTCACGCACGGCAGGCGGCAGGCGAGGACAATATCGACCTCGAGTCGCCTGTCTCGGCGTCCGTGGAGAAGCGGCGCGCCGGCGAACGCCGCTGACCGGCCTCGCCCGCGCGGAGGGCGCGCGGCGCCGGCCGGCTGTACGGCGGCGGACGGACGGCGCCGCCCGCCGACGGCTCAGACCGGTCCCGAAATCAGATCTGAACGAGTACGATGCTCCGGCGCCTGGCGCTGAGGCAGAGATGAGCGCCGAGATCACATCGGCGTCGGGCGTCAGCGCCGCGTCCACGTCCGTCCACACCCGCGCCCAGCCGTCCACGGCGGGTGGAGCGACGGCGACAGGCTGCTCACACCGGACAACCGGGCTTAGTCGATGGTGCACGTGTCAGCTCTCGCTTGCGTGCCGATTCCATGGTCACAGCGAAGACGGGCGTGGGTGTAGTTGGGGTGCCTATCAGCCCCAAAAGGCAAACACCGTTCCGCTGCAGTGAGCCAAGCCGTCCAGCGACGCTGGCCACGACCCACTGCGACCAGATCCAAGTCCAAGGCAGCCAACGCCAACTGCTCCGCCCTGCCAGGGATGGACGGACTGCCGCGTGTCGCGGATGGACGGCTGTTTTGTCGGATATGGACAGACTGATGTCGGATATGGACGGTGTCGGCGTGGACGTGGTGCTCTCTCGGGGATGTAAGAGCCGTTCGGCTGGGCAAGAGCATGCCGTTTTCCGTAATTGCGCAGACTTCGCGGCCGTGATGACCCACCGCTCAGGTCACAGTCACTGCCCGCGTGCCGCATCCCGTCCACCAGACCTGTCCACGCCTGCCATCTCGCGGCAGCAGCACACGGGTCAAGGGCGGCGACCGCGGGAGCCGGCGCCGCTCCGACAGCACCGGCGGGACGTCTGCTGAGACCGCCAGCGGCGGTCGCACGTGCCTGGGATCGTCCGTCGACATCCCGAGAGGCGTGACACGGTGTACGCCAGAGGCGGCGTCTCAAGAGGCGTGACACGGTGTACGCCAGAGGCGGCGTCTCGAGAGGCGTGACACGGTGTACGCCAGAGGCGGCGTCTCAAGAGGCGTGACACGATGGACGTCAGAGGCGACAGCTCAAGAGGTGTGACACCGTGGACGCCAGAGGCGACATCCCGAGAGACGTGACACGGTGTGCGCCAGAGGCGACATCTCAAGAGGCGTGACACGTGGACGCCAGAGGCGACATCTTAAGAGACGTGACACGGTGGACGCCAGAGGCGACATCTCAAGAGGCGTGACACGGTGTACGCCAGAGGCGACATTTCAAGAGCCGTGACACGGTGTGCGCCAGAGGCGTCAGACGGTAAGTAGCAGTCGGCACCGCCAGGTGGTCTTCGGCGCACCTGCTCATGGGACCTGCCCACGACTCGCTTCCTCAAACAGGCCAGTGAGTTGGAAACGGACCGCTGAGAGACAAGGCCTGTCGCATGTCGACGCACGACAAACGACGCTCTGGCACGGACAAGCCCGCGACTAGGGGAGGTAATTCTCGGCATGTACCCTTGCCGCTGTCATTACGAGTGCGCGCCGCTCGACAAGCGCGAGCGACAAGCCAGTGCAAGGTGATTGCTGTGCGGCTGCGTCCGAGCGCTCGTCAAGCTGTGAGAATCTCTCATGCTCCAGCTGCATTAGTCGGAACTAGATTCGCCTCGGGCCGCTTAGGATCATAATCGTTTGCGGTTTAAAACCAGAACCAGATGGGCAGAGCTGCTTCGAGACGGTGGATTTGACATGGGAACGCGGATAAATCGGAAAACGTGACAGCTGCTCCTCAGGCGGCGTTTTGGAGCAGGAAGTGAGATTGGTGGCGTGCCTCGGCTATGCAACGGGACCGGTGCCGTTCACAGTGTTGTTCACTGACGAAACTCATCGGGAGAACTCGGTTCCCTTATGACACAACTTTCGAGTGCGGGCGAAGTCGTAAAAACTTCGAAATTTAGCATTCAGAATGTGGTGTGTTCAGGCATTTCCGTGCCTCACTAAAGGTCTCCGATATTTGACGATTCGGCGAGAGTTTCACATGCGTGTACAGCTTTATGTACAGGCTGGTGAAAGCTGCAGTTGCTGACAGCTCCCAGTCCTATGCTTGTTTCAGAACTCAGGGCTGTCGCGTAACATCTAGCAGCATCCGCATGCCAAAGCCACGGCAACGTAGGGCCATCTCCAAACCCAAGCCGTTCAAAATAGTTGTCTCGTGAGCTCGAATTCACGATACATGTAAGTGGTTCACCGCAGGATGCAGACCATCTTGATAGAAACGGCGAAGGGCGGCGCACCCCTAAATCCGCCCCGAGCCGCCGGTGTCACACCCCGAATGCTGGGAAGGGCAAGGACGATCTTCCTGCCGATTGCTGACAAGCTCGGCCGGTTCCACGCCCACACACCAAGGCGGTGACCGCCAGCCAGGGCGGGCTTTATATGAACATGCAATGTAGCAGACGTGAGCTCGCAGCACGCTGCGGCCAGCCGGCATCCAGTCGGCGGCCGACCATGAGGTCAGCGTCGGGACGGCCATTCCGGGCACGTCTCGTCGTCCATCTCCTGCAGTCGGCCGGCGATCCCAGACAGCTCACGTGCTGGCGGCGGCGGCGGCGGCGGCGCCGCGGCCGGCCGCCGAGCGGCGGGGGAGGTCGGCCGCTCCCCGGATTAGTCTGCTCCGCAGAGCTGGCCTCCCAATGCGTCACACCGTCCCACGGCACCCCAGGGGCAGAGTCGGGCCGATGCCGGCTGGCTCTGGTCTGGAGCCGGGGTCGCACACCCCAGGTCCGGAGCCGGGGTCAGACAGCCCAGATCCGGAACCAGTGCCGGACACCCAAGATCCGGAATCAGCGCAGGACATCCCAGATCCGGAGCCAGTAGGTCCGGAGTCGGCGTCAAACAGCTCTCGTCTGGAGCCGAGGTCGGACACCCCAGATCCTGAGCCGGGGTCAGACAACCCAGATCCGAAGTCAGTGCCGGACGGCCCAAGTCCGGACTCAGCGCCGGGCATCCCAGATCCGTGGCCAGTAGGTCCGGAGTCGGTATTAGACAGCTCTCGTCTGGAGCCGGAGTCCAACAGTGCCGGCACAGAGGAGTCGGTGCCAGGGTACGGAACCGGTGTCAGGCTGGAACCCGACCGGAGCACAGTGGGAGCACAGAGCTGGTGTCACACAGCGCCAGCACGAGCCAAACAGCGCCACCGGCCGGACGAGCGGACCGCCGGTGGCTCGGCCGCCGCCGCCGCCACCGCCCGCCGCGCACGGCGGCGGCGCTGCAGCTAATCCTGACGGACGAGGGGCACCCGGCGCTCCCACGGCAGCCTCCTGCCGCCCAGTGACGACGCTGGCCATCGGCAG